GAAAATGTTTTTTCTTCTCCAATCTAGCTCTATGATCTAGCCTATGCTAGACAAGTAAGATTACTATAAATACCTAAATTCAATGCAGATCTTATTTGTAACATTACTATGATACTTTAAGAATTATGTCCACATGTAGAACTGTATCTGAGTATACAGGATAAGATTGTACAACTTATATGCAGTATGATATAGCCTTATTAGGGGTTATATCATTAAAGTAACAGACTCTATTACCTTTAAAAAGTACTTCTAAATAGACAAACTTGAATAATATAGTAATCTTGAAGGCTTCTTTATTTTTATTTCATATCTTACAACTCTTTTTTGTTCCTGTTGCCCAACTTTGCTTTCATTTTATTTGTTACTATGTTTTTATTTTTACTGTTAATTATCTTAAACATTTCCACTATCTTATTCAAATCTGTATTTTTCTAGAACTCAACCCAGCCATGTACGCTCCTCGAGGTCTCGAGGGGGAGACTGCTAGTGGTATGTACGTGGGGGGCTCGAGAGGAGTCTGTGGGTAGGGATTGCTTCTTGAAACACGGGTTTTTTTTTTCTTTTTCCTTGGATTGGGTACCGTATTAACTTGAATAAGAGCAACACATCTCGGGACGTCTGACTTGCCTATTTTGGTAGGGACGGGAGAAAATACCAGCAAAATAAAACCACGCGTTACCAAGAGGGGAAACCTAGACGTCCCGAGCGGTGTTGCTCTTATTCAAGTTCATACGGTATGTTGGCGGCCGTATGGTGAGGGACATCTGTAGCCGGGACAGGTGTCCATGCGTCAGGGCTTTGCATAGTATGTTAATATGCCAAGCAGTGGACTTAATAGAGGTTACCTTCTTAGCAAATATCCATTAACTGACTATGCCAAGGAAACTAACAGTAATTAACATGCTCATTGCTATTCCCCTTTTCTAGACAAAAACACCTGGTTTCGAACCCTTATAACTCCATTAAAACTTGCGACATTTTCGTTTTCTCTCTATTAATATGTAGAGGGCCATCTACTATATCATCTAATAAAGCTATAATTCTCACCGGAGAGATTGTTGAAAAGCCTTTGGCGCTTGAAGTTAAGCAATATTTTCTTGGCAAATTACTCCAGTTGCAGAAGTCTCCCACTATAATTTAGGCTATCACTCCGGGGAGAATAGGTTATCTGGGTAACTTATACCAAAGTCAATCATACTTACCTGCTAAAATCGAAGTCGAATTTCGCCACCCGGCCACCATGTGCGCTCTGGCTACTATCATAACAAACTGTAGTCGCCGGAATATAGGGTGTGTGTCTGTCCCCAACTTTCACCTGCGTAATAACAAAAGAATCACGACGCCTTGCGCGTAACCATCTTTATCGCATCCATCTCAATGGAATAGGTTACCCGAGTAACTTATAACCGGGTAGATTATACTAACCTACTAGAATAAGAAGTCGAATTTTGCCACCCGGCCACCAGTTGGGCCCCAATAGCCCCGGATGGCATTTCACCAACATTCCATTCACCTGTGCAGTCGACTAAACCACCACGCCCCGCTTGTCAAAATTGAAGCTTACTTCTCATAACCCCCCAACACCACCAGCGACCCTGTTTTCTAGGAATAATTGCTGTGTTGCCGCCGGTAGCCATACTTCGGGGACGGCTTTTTGATTTTGGCGAGTACTCGAGGACCCGGTGTCCAATTTGGCGGGCCCCGTTATTCCGTGATTGAAATCCCGCTCCCGGGGGGTTAACTCCCTTCGCTCTATAAATATTGTTGCTACCCCAGAACTTTTCCTCACAGGACAGATAAATTAACTAAGCACCCATTACCCAAGTTCACAACTCTTCGCTTGACCCACAAATCCTCACTTGCATCTCCTCACTCGCATCAGCAATTTGGTCACTTCATTTCGCGCTTTTAGTTAATTCGCAATGGGCTCACGGTTTAAAGAGGGAGAGGAGCACCAGATTCGGCGCATGGGTGGTGCGCAATCGGGCTTGGCTGTCGGGGATGCGATCGAACCGAAATCCTCCCATGATTGTGCCAGACACGCGGGATGCGCAGAAAAAAAGGGTGGTTGGAGAGATTGTGAGGTGCTCGGCCAGGGGAGTTTCGGTGTCGTCTATAAGCAGATCCACAAAACCACGGGGGATTACCGTGCTGTAAAGGCGATCGATAAGAGGCTAGCAAGGCTCGATTACTCTAGGGAGCCTCTTGTGATGGCGGTATTGGTGGAGGTTTGTGCTCTCGCCCCCGGGGGAAGTTTGCGCCAGTTTGACATCCCCAAGGGGTCCTCTTCTTGTGGTCTAATTGTCAACTATTTTAGCATCCGTCGTTATTTGTCCAGTTTCTAGAATGTTTTGAGGACTCCCAGACTCTGTATATTGCGATGGAATATTTCGAGAAGGGTGATCTCACCAATTATATCGGTGAACCACTGCCACAAGGAGATGTCAAAATCATTTCGAAGCAAATACTCGAGGGTCTCAAATTGATGCATCAACACGGGATAGCTCATCGAGATATAAAGCCTGCGGTATGATCCCTCCACCTCGCTTGACAATGTCGCCACGCAAAATACTAATGGATGCTTAGAACATATTTGTAGTTTCTATGTACCCACCCCTGATCAAACTCGGGGATTTCGGAATATCGAAACGGATTCAACCTCAAGATACAACAACCTTTCACACCCGAGTGTCAACTCCTGTATACGGTGCTCCCGAGGTTCTAGATTTGGACTCCCAGAGCGAAACCTCTGCCTACACGAATTCTGTCGACATTTGGTCATTCGGGTGTGTGATATATGAGTTACTTGTCAGGGAGAGGTTATTCGTCACAGGAATCCAAGTGTACGAGTACTTCCACGGGATACGTCCGTTTCCCGAAAATAAACTAAAAGGGTTATCACCCCCGACAGACGACGTCGGAATTTTATTCCTGAAGTCCACGCTCGAAATACAACCCGGGGATCGTCCTACCGCAGCGGGGGCACTGGGCCACGCGTGGCTGATGGGCATTAATAGTGAGGGTGAAGTTAGCGAAGATAGCAAAGATAAACCCGCACAAATTCTGTGCACCCCGAGCAAGGGGATCGGACACAAACTAGCTACTCAGGACAACTCAGGGGAAAGAAAAGTCGAAAGAAACCTGGTTACCAAGGATGACACCAAGTGCACCTTGGGGGATGTGGCTTTAGAGACGAATACGGGGTTGGAAAGTGGTAGTTACCGTACTACACCAGATGTAGCCCCCATTGAGGGCCCACCGACCCAGGCTGGGTCTCCAGAGCCGGAATTGGTGTGTCGCAATTTCCAGGCGACCCATGCCAAGAGTGCCGAAGCGCTAGGCAAGCGGGTCGGCATCATTCCAAAAGCATATCCCCAAGGTGACACCCCGGATACCAGACTCATCCTACTCGAGTATCTATCATGGAACTTTTGCTAACGGGAATTGGTTGCTGAATACTAGACCTCCCTCACGCGATCCCACGCCGCCAGACCCCGGTCTGGGAGTTCGGCTCCGATCAACCCGAGAAAAAAATGGTGGAGACAGCAGAAACCGGAGTGGCAGAACCGTTAACTGCATTCAAGATTCAAATACTAGGTAAAAACCTAATGCGGGACGGGACCCTAACGCGGGACGCAACCCTACTACTGGCTGGAATCCTTCTACTCGCTGGAATCCTAGCCGGTACCCTAATTCTGGCCTGGATTCTATTCGGGGTCTTATTGCTAGCTGTAATCCCAATACTGGTTGGAACCTCAACACCGGAGGTTATCCAAATCTTGGCGGAGTCCCATCCCCGGGCGGAACCCGAACCACTGGGGGCCGAGAACGGATCAGACTAAGGATACAGTTTCCGGCGACTGAAAGAAAGGGTATAAGAAGCCAGAGGAATAGGTCGCGACAATCGTCAAGTATTATGACTTGGGCAAGGTTTCAGAAGGATCGATTGTTATTTCACCATCACCATACGTGCATTCACCGGGCCGAATTAGACCTCATAGTAGCCGAAAGATCTCTACGGTGGAAATTGTTTCTCTTTGCTTTGGGACTGGTGTTTGAAGGTTTAGGGGCAAATAGGTATTTGTTAGGCGTATAAAGGAGTTTTCTAGTTTTTTGTTGTATAAGTCATCTTTTAGGGCCGAGGTTTAAAGGTTTGCAGGTAAATGTACTATGACATAAATATTTGCCTAACAAAAACTGTGTCACGAACCGCAAACTACCCGAGTGTATTGGGCGTGGGCTAGGCTAACCCAAAAATTTGCCTTAGTGAAAAAGGGCCGGGAAAAAAGAATGGAAAAAGGTGAGTTGTTGAGCTTGTCCCCTAAAACCTAAGAAACAAGAAACAAAAGCACCAACCAGCCGTTTGGCGCGACCGCAAACCATGGTTGGGAAACTGGCCCATTCAAACCTTATCGTTGGTCAATTTGCCAACGATGGATTCGCAACCATGGTTGGCCGTCGTGCCAAACAGGCCCCAAAGCATTCCGTTGGAGGTAACACGAACACCACAGCACGCTACTCGCTTAAGATTTTATGGTAAATTTAGAGTATCGGGTTAGCGATACAGCTACTGCAATAACCCAAAGACAACCGCTACAGTATAGCGACGGCCAAGGGGGCAGTCTTTTAGGTACTTACTCGAGTATATCCGTCTAGCAGTCTCTTCGGGTGGAGGGACTAACTCCTTCCCCCCAATTTTCCGGGCCCCACTTCTTGCTTTCCTATCTGGGAAGGTGCAGACGAGGCTCAACACCACAAACACAATCTCACGATTATATCTAGCCGCCAAACTTGCTGCTTCATAGGTGTGTTGGGATAGCCCCCTCGCGGGATAAGACACCATGTCTGGCGCCCTACTGCTCTCCTACAAACACGCTGGCACCATTCTGTCCTAAGTCAATCGTCGGAAAACACAAAACCGGCCGAATACGCAAGCGAGAAACGCTGTTGTGCGCTTGAATAGTGCTGCGGGGGATACATGGGCGGAGTGCCCTACTTCTGTCATACAAACACATCGGTACCTGCGCCATTCGTTGTCCGATCCGGAAACACACTAGCCACTAAAGGCCATGGTACAAGTAGAGATGCGCACTATCTCGGTGGCCTGGTGCTGGTTTTGGGCACAGTACAGTACCGTGAAAACTGGAATAATCGGCCCTCACACTAGTCGTCCAGAATTTCCCCCTTTGAATTAGGGGGTGGGGGGCACTGGGGGAAAAAAAGAAAAACAAGACCGACCCTACCGGGAGAGGTAACTCTAACGTCTAGCGTGAGGGACACCCAACTGGATCGCTATCATCTTACTGGCCGACTGGTATAAGGACTCGGACGGACCTAAAGAGCTTTTTCTGTGTGGCGCTTAGGCCCGGACCTGGGGTGATTGTGTAGATAGAGATGACGGTACAGTACACTCGAGCACAGGTAGCAGTGTTGAGGGCGACCGAGGGAAATATTCTGAAGTGGGCTATTTTTTCTCCCTACACCTCTTTCCTTTCTTTTATTTGCCCACACAGTGTACCGGTAGTTTTAGTTCGGCCAAACCTGCTTTTCGGTCTCTCGCAACTCTCGGAGGGGACAAGGCACTATGGGACTACCCCATCCCGCTTCTCCCATGGCCACACCTTGCATGAGCGGTGGTGAGAGGAAAGAGTCGAGCCGAGTGGGGCAAGAAACGTGGGATCACGCCCCGGTCTGTATAAACCTCGTTTCACATTATCAGACCCATGAAACGGTGTGTCTGATATGGAAAAACTAAGTTGTATCCCCAACGGTCTCCAGATGTCTTGATGAGATGCCAATGGATCCGGAGCCCATATATAGAGGCCACCCCCCACCCGCCACCAAGAACATCTGGTCATTTGCACTAACTCCCATTCCAATTCACCGGCTCTCACTTACTGGGCGCCGGCTGGGTCGATACCCAATTGTTCGCATATTCACTCACCCATCCGTTGATTCATTAACTAATTCTTTACCCTTTTCAAGTAATTTATTTAATCCACATCCCACTAAACAAAGTCACCGAAAATCATCGCTGCTTCCCATTGGCCGCCCTCCACCTCGCAATTGTTGTAGCCGGAGACCCAGAGCTCCGCGACTGGACACCGCCAAACCTTAACGCCGCAAACAAGTTCCCTATGCTTACTATCCTTACTTCCCTCACCACTCTCAGGCAGTGACAATAACCGTTATTGCCCCCACCTCCGGCCCTCGTCGATAGGCACAACAAATTTTGGGGAAATGGGGATCTCCGCACCCTGAATACTGCTGAGGTCGGGGGCTCGCATGGAACTTCTCCGGGGAACGGGTGCAGAGGATGGCAACCCGACACAGCGATACGTGAGCAAGGTTTAGGGACCTCCGGAGTATATACCTTAACTTATTATTGAACAAATAGCCAGAGAGGATGCCGAAGCAGAACAGGGAGTTGAGAGTCAAATATTAATCCCCCCAAGTCAAAGAAATGGGAGGGTGTGAATCCGTAATTCGGGATCAGGGCCCCCCCCCTTCCGTGGAGGGATAAAGTATGATTTCTCCCTAAATGCTCTTAACCCCCCCCCCCCCAAATCCTTGGTGTGTTGAAAAAAACACTCGATGCTGTTGAGAATCACAAGACACTCGACACAAGCAAGTGACCCTGCTGGGGAAGAAAAAAGGGAGTTATAACTTTAACATATTCATTTATAAATTCATAATACAGATTCAATTCAGCAGGTCAATCCTAAAGCAAAAAAGACCCTACCTGATTCGAAGATAGGCGAGCCAATACTAGCCCATCCTCAACGACATCTCTTACGAGAGATGTGGTTACGGGCTTGCTCCCACCTCACCCAGAGCAAAGCAAATATCTGTGCATTTAGATGGTACAGTTTGGAGATATCTTTTCCTCTACGGTTATTCCTGGTCTGGAGGCTGGGCGGTCCGTGTGTGATAGTATAGGGCGCAAATCGTGACAAAAAAAAAAAAAAGAACAGAGGAACTTGGACTGATGATGTATTGTTCAGCCAGCTCTCTTGATATTTTCTTTACAGAATTTTATGTATATATAGAGTCAATGGTCCGTCGTATTTGAAATACATGTTGCCATCTTTTGCCGGTTTCCCTCACGTCTCGCGGGGGGGCGGTAGACACTTGAAGTGAGAGGAGTAAGATGGCGTGAAACGCGTATATGCCTGTTCCATCCTACCGGGAAAGATCTTCACTCGGCCAAGGAGATGGATATCCCCTTGACCATGAAGGCTACCCCCCCCCAGAAGGACGCCCACCGAACGAGTAAGGTTCAGCGCATCCCAGTCCCCAGTGGGCGGGGGAGATGATTGTGTAATTATCCAAAGGGGTTATGATATGTGATTGATGTTCCATGACTCGCCCCTCGCCGGCCTCCCCGCAAATAGTTCCCCCCACCCCCACAAATTTACCCGAGCCACTTGTTCCGCCTGTCTCTTTACTGCCATGCTAGAAAGTCTCTCACCCCTCCTCCCCATGCCCTACCGCTCTCGGCACAACCGCGTACTTGCACTCGGCACGCCACACGCTCCCTTTCCGATCCAGGAAACCTGGATTCCGGTGGCAGACCGCTGCCTGGGATTGGTTAAAAGTAGTGCCTTGCGCTGTGAAAATCTAAAAGGGAATGGGTTCTGTTCCCTAGTCGTGCTACTTGGCTTTTTCTTTTCTTTTCAATCATGCACCTCACTATAGGTCCCCCCCCTCGGCGACATCCAATGTCACTCGGTACCCATTTGCTCGCTACGATAGGTCGAATTTACTTTTTCCATTGGGGCATACTATCAGGACATGGAACATCTCTTGTTAGAAAAAAGCCCTCTGTGGGGCTACTTGGGCTCCAGAACAGAGGAGTCAAGGCCTCTCGCGTCCGACTGGACCGATGGATCTCAAGGGTCGTGTGTAATTCTTGGTGATATGGGGTAATACCCTTTGCAATTCCTCTTATAATCCCCTGCTCGACGATCCCGGGTGGGGATACAAGGCTTTCTGTGCGATTCTATTCTTTTGCTGCAGGAACTCGAATGATTGAACCTCCCTAAATGAGGACAAGAGGAAAAAGTATCTCCTTGCTGGCTAAGGATATTCCAACGATCGAGCGTCAGGGATCACTATTTAAGGTCCCATAGTATCACGGTACTGTACTAGACTTTGGAGAAAATTATTTTGGGCGAATGCTATTAAACCTCCTGCTGTAGGGGACGAAGGCGGGGTATTTGTGCACGGCCTGAGGCAGAGGGAAATGGAAAGAAGGAAAAGAATCATTTTTCGGGATCGGGGGAAAGCAGCGGGAACACTTTTCCACACGGAAACTCTACCGCGCTGGACCAACTGGCAAGGGATTAAAGAGGGAGAAAGTATAGTGCAAGCGGGCTGGGTAGATACCCTGTGCAGCAAACCATCGAGTGATCGGCGATGGTGCAGCTGCTGACGTAACCATTTTGATGGTCGAACCAACTAAAATTCTCCTGCGTAGTATCCCTACGCTTGACAAGAGAGCCAAACATATACCTCAAAAAGGTTCGTGAATTTGTTTGTCTGGTGCACAGGAAGCCATTAGCTGTAGTGGCGCGCTGGAGATCACGTGGTGAAAGAAAAAAGTGAAGGGGAAGAAAATTTGCTTTTCCTCCTCCCTTACTAGGGCCTATGATAACCCGCCTGGCTCTAAGCCCCTGCGTGGGTCCGTCTATGGTCTCAATGCAGTGAAATTGCTGACTTACCCAACGAGCGTACCATCGCTTCCGGAATCCGGTTGAGGTCATGGCCCCTATAGCCACAATGGCTTGTCGGGTCGGTTTCCTTGGCTTAGCTATATAATATAGGGTACTGTACCGGTAGTTCGCTTAAGGTCTTATCAGGGTCCCACATGGTCATAGTGGCTGTGCAAGCGCAGTACCGTATCGTATAATTTTTTGGAGGGTAAAAGTCTGATTGGCGCTGGCAACTATAGAGTGGCTGGTGACCCTTCCCGTGGTCTAATTAGCCCCAATCGGGGTCGGAGAGTGGGGTGAGCCTCGCCCAGCCACAGGTTAGCAGCTTCACACGAATACCCGATCTTGGTCAAGAACTTTCCTTGTCAAAACCAGACTTTCACCGGCCTCTTCGCTAACGTGTCGGACCGGCAAGGGGGTCGGATATTGGAGCAAATCGTTTTGCATGATACACAAATTTCCTTCAAAATGCATAACCTCCAATTCAGCGCAAAAATGGGAATATCCAGCATTTCGTGCTTGGCCATGGGGAACATCTTCAATACTTCCGAACTCCCTCTCCCTTTTGCCTCGTATAGGTCGGGATTTTGGAGCGGTTCTGCTGATTCACTTCTCCGTCTAGCCCGATTCCCCGTATGTAGGTTAAAGTGGCTACCGCGGGCCATTGACGGGCAATCCTATACAAAAATTCCGGGAGTAATATTTTAGCCGGTAACTCTGACGTTGGGCCGGGGGCAGGGTGGGCCACAATTTTTCGGTTTGCGAATCCTCTCGAACCTGCGGGGCTATTTCGACTAATGGAACATTTCGCCAAGCAGTTCGTTTTCGCGCTCCACTGTGAGTCCCAGGGGTTTTTTTTCTTCTCGATTGGATTCACAGCCGCTCGGAATTTATTCGCTAATTCGGGCTCACCCTTTCTTCTTTTCCTACCCTCGCGCCGGTGATATTTATTATTTTCTTAAAAAAGAATAATATTCGGCGTGTGTACGTTCCGGGGATTGTTACTCCTCCCGTAGAGTGCTGAGTAATTTGCCGTGCCAGCTTTTTTCCCAAACGGACCACTTCTAGCGGGTTAGGCTGCCAGGGCAGCAATGTATTAATATCTAGCTAGTTGGAGCGTTTTAAGCAGCGTGGGAACAACGCTCAACCTCGCGGACAATCCTTCATCCGTTTCCTGCTGGAATGCCGGCATCAGAGCCTGAAACTGCTCGGGTAAATTTGTGCGGAAATGATCAGATCACCGCAATTCTAAATTTAACGAGGTTTACTAGCCAAGGATCCAGTTGGTCGGCGACAGGTCTGGGCGCAAACTTTATTCCCACGACCAGAGGCACGACAGCTAAGCGTACGCACGTGACCTCGCATCAGTTAAGTTAGTCGCGTGTGAACGTGCAAATGGCGGGCCAGCAGACATGGAGCGCGGCTACGCTCGTCCTGCGCACAAAAGTTCGTAAGAATTAAGCTCGGGATGTATTCCGCCAATATTTCGGGGGCCCCTCCGCGTGGCATTCTTGTTTTCCTCTCATTCGTCCGAGCCCGGCGAACCAATCATTTGGCCGAGAGTTGGGGCGGTGTGCCCGACACAAGCGCTCTGCTGGCCACAAGGGAGCCGGTAGCACACTCAAGGGTAATCGAGGCTGGAGCTCTGGGTTTGGCCCGGGATTCTCCGACCGAGGGTTGTCGTGGAGGGCATGGCTCAGTTGAGCAGCGGCGGGGGAACGATATTCCGGAAGTGCTGTACCGGTATTGGGTAACGTATGGGGGGTCAACTACAGCGTCCGAATCAGCCTTCCAGATGGGATTCCCCCCACGAGAATTTAGCATGGGGACAGTGGTGAGAGATCTTGGTATTGATGGTGTTGGGGTCGCACAATGGTGTAAGCCGTGCACGTGGGCAGTGTGGACCCGCCGTTGCCGGTAGTACTCGAGTACAGGTACCAGGTACTCGTAGGGGCAGCGTACCGGCAGGACCAAAGATGGGGTGGATCCGCAGCAGTTGTACGAGTATCCTCGGGAGCACCCTCGCGTACTGTACAGTACGTTCCCGCGCTGCGGCAGCGGTAACATGCTGTACCTGACAGGGCCCAACCTCTGCACCGGTACGGGTGCTCGAGTTATTCGCGGTACCGATAGGGTGCCTCATTCTAAGCTAGGGGGCTCCCGCAACATCAACCATCCGGTTCCGCCAGCGCGGTACAGTACAGTACTGGAGTGATTACAGTACTTGTACGGTATGATACCCTACACAATCACTTTCTGTCAAGGTTCAGCTTGGTCGCACAAAAAATCCAGCTCCCCCATCCCTGTTAGGCCCAGTGCATGCCAAGCCCTTCCTTGCTTTAGGCCCCTACCACACCAATTTTCGTCGCGCGCCAGATAAAAAGGGGACCCCGCCGCCCTCCCCAGGAGAGGAGTCTTCCCAACTGTCCCACTTTACCTATACCCCCACTTGCCCCTGCTGCTTGCTTAAGGCCCACTTTTGCCCCCTTCCTCCCTCATACCGGTACTGAGGATTCCCAAGTCATCTTTTTCCTCCTTGGCCCGATCCTCTTGTCGCGGCGGGGCTCCCGTTCTTTTTACGAGGGCCCCAGAAGATACGCTGCCCACTGCCCTCCCCCGGTTTCATTGACCCAACCCCCACTCATCCTCACGCTCCCTACTCATGAATTACGCTAGCGATCAAATGTGTGCCTCGGCCCTATTCTCCTGGGTCTCAGTGGGTTTGTCCTGGATCCACTGGCTCGGTGACCCGCTGGGGACGCGGTTTCCACTCGCTGTCCCTTTTTATCGCATGTTCAGAGGGCGGGGCGTATGCCTGACCAAACTGGAACCTCGCCAGGTATACGCCTTAGCGCTTATATCTGGTGGTATTTCTCTTGCGTTATCTATGCATATTCCGGTCTCCATTAGCGCCGTACCGACTTTGGTGCTTCCGGGTGTCTCCCTTGGGCTAGGAATAGTCCTTATTATGGAAAAAGTGAGCCTCCCATCGCTTCTCGGAGCTTGATCTGGCGCTTTGCTAATTTTTGTGTAGATTTGTGGGAACCGCAAACGTATTGCTGGGGAGAATCGCGATGCACTGCGCCCATCGGAGCTAGTCGACGGGTTCAAGTTTCCCCGGGCTTCCTGGGATTTAGACATAAAGACAAAATTCTCCGTACACTATTTGAATGTCAAAGTTGATACGATTCGTAAGTCGCATATCTGATCGCTCTTTACCTGCATGTTTCTAATCCGTTGATCGCTAGCAATCCGTCCCTCCCTCATCCTCAGTCGTTTAGGTCACCTTAACACTCCAACTCCGCGAGTCCCTCATTATACCCTCGTCGACGTTGCTTCAATGCTTATAATCTCACCGGCTGTCGCCATCTCGGCAAATACAGCAAGTCTGATTATTAGCGCTGAAGCTATGTCCGGTATTCCGGGATGGTTTGGATCGAGCTTGTTCTCGACCCTGAGGAATTTGGAGCGTCCTCTGAGAACATTGCGTCCGGGTACGGGTAGCGCAATGGCTGGTCTTGGTGTCTATGAGGATCTATTTGTCGCTGGGATATGTTATCCGCGGCTTTCTAATCCCCCTATAGACAAGCTACATTACCCGTGAGTATATTTCTCAAGACATCTAACAAGAAATATTCTGATCAAGATTTAGGCTATATGTTATTTCCCTGGTCGTAAAAAATATTGACACATACTCAAAAATTGTTTCCCCTTCCAACATAGCTAGCTGCCTAGGTATCCTTACCCAAATCCAAGTGATGGATCGAAGGGCTAATAGTGTTATAGAATTGGCTCCACTTCCAGACACACAAAACACCTCTTCGTCCTATATCGAACACCGCCCAGCCGCAAGGAAATCCTGGGGCAAACAGAGCAACACTTCACATTGCCCAACTTCACCACACATCGTGGTACCAAAGATTGAAGACAGTCTTCCTACCTACAAGATACCTTATACCCCTCCCGACATCGCAAAAGGATCTCCGACACTCCGAAACCCTCCCGCACAGCCATGGGTTCCATTCAGAGCCCCCCAGCTGTCAGCAATATCAACGATATCTTCGACATCTTTATCAACAATGATTGTCTCCTTAGCGATGTGCCTAACACATTAAACTCTCAGAACACTACTTTTCGAGGCAACCTTCTACAGCAGCAACAACTTCTTGTAGGACAAGAATTGTCCCCCCCTTCATCACCTCAAAAGAACGACGCTCCGCCTCATCAAGATCTCATCCTCGAATTCTCAGAATCTCACTTCCGCGACACAAAGGCGACGGACCTCCCGCTATGGGCCGACCCGTCCGACCTGTTCAACTTTGACCTGGCCACTCCTCACGCAACACCCGCAAACAACCTACTAGCCACTACTAACGAACCAATTCCTCAAGCCCCAAGTACGTCCATGCAACCCACACCCGCGAACTCCACGACGGGCAATCTCCCCCGAAGTCCAACGCACCACATTCTCCCACCAACGCCCCTCTCTCTCTCTTCAACAGCCACCTCACCCGCCCCCGCCGCACCGTTACCACCACCACCACCAACATCCCACTCTACACTTACACCAACGCCCGCTTCCACCGCCCCTCCCTCTACTACAACACCTGGCCCCAAGCCCCGTCCTAAACCCCGTGCAATGAAATCCTTCCCCTGCACCTTCACTCACTGCCACCTCGATGCAGCAACGAAGAACCCTGAAACGGCCCACCACCACCACCATAAGGATCCCAAACATCGGTTCTGCTGCCGCTACGAAGGCTGCACTTCGTGCACTAGCTACACTACGAGAAAAGACCGTAACCGCCACGAGGCGTCAAAACACAGTGAGCAGCACCTAGTCTGCGATGTTTGCTGGCATACGACGGCTAGGGAGGATAACATGAGGGTCCACGTACGCGCTGCGCATCCTGAGGGGTGGGAAATGGTCATGAAAAGGATTATAGGGGTCAGGATGAAGATCGTTATGGGTCTTCTGTAGATTGGGAGGTTGCAGATGTAAGGGTAGACGTGTTTAAATTTTTCTCTTGTCTTGTGAAAAAGCGTTAGTTGGGTAGAAAAAAGGGCGTTTTTTCTCTTTTCTCTTTTGTGGCCTTCAGTTGGGTAGAACTTGGGCATATACCCCTTTCACCTATCTCTCTGCTCTGCCGGCCGTCCGGCTGCTCATCGCGCGTCTCTTATGTTAGCCCACGGTTTCCTTGATTTCCGGCGTATTTCCTTCATTTCCTTTCTTTTGCCCTGCCTTCCGCAGGCCCTTGGCCAAATCGCGGTGTCCTTGGGTTGTGAACTACTTTTCTTTTCTCCTCCTATTTTCATGTCTGGCTCGACTCGCTCGCGGGTATGGTGCATCGCGCTACCATCAGAATCCCGAGTTGCGCTACTACAAAATATAATGACGTTAGTCTTATTTATACATGTAAAAAAATGACAGAGAATCCTATTGGGATCTCGCAAACACGAACTATCTTGCATCGCGACTCCGCCGTTTTTTAGTATGATACTCGGGCTTGCAGCTTCCAACGATTCCCAGAGCCCTGAACAGCGCGGCATGTTCAAGCTCATCATGCACAAGCAACTTCCACCACACAACCTCACTCACTCACAACCTGTGATTACCATTCATCCTACTTTACGGAATCTACCGTGCGGCTGAAGATCCCGGTCCGGTCAAGCCACCGCAGGAGGCACGGCGCATTCTCATATTATACAGCGCGGTGCCCCACCCACATGGCGAATCTAGTTTTACCAGCCCGCGTCTGGTTCTGCGGACACGGTCTCCACCGTGTCGCAGTGGATGCGACGTCACTTGAATAAACCCTCTCTGTGCTGAAACCTATCACGATACTAGTGCCTTGAAAATCCGTTTACACACCTGCCCGTACTGGGTTGCGCAATGCTCGTACAGCGCTCCTCCCCGAAAAAAACAAAACACGAGAGTAGAATGGGATTGGGGGAGTGGGGGTGCTACCCAAGGTTTGAATATTTGTCGTACCTTGGGTATGGGGGGTTTCGAGCTCTAGGTATGATACCAGCAGTTCCATTTTTTCCCTCCTTTTTTTCTGGAGGGGGGGGGAGAGGATGGGAATGGATGGGTTGGTTCACTTCAAGGAATGGCGGGTAACGGTGCGGTGGACTGGTGTGAGAGCGGCCGACCGAGTGACGACGAATTTGGTCTTTCCAGCGCTGATTCCGCGATTTAAGTGCGTGATGTATTCTGTACGGTCTCGTTGGTCTGTGAGGGTTGAGTGGGATGACTCGATTTTGTTACTCTAGGTGGGTTTCTCTCTGGGGTGGTGTCGGTATTCAGTGGCCTCGAGTGGGCACCGTGATATCCGATAATGGTTGGGCTCGTGTTCGGGAGTGTAGTGGTGGAGAAACGGTAGTTACCTTATGGTATACTACTGATATTGTACTGCATATGGCCATGGGTTGCGGCTTCCGGATATCACACCGGAAAAACAGAACCGGTGTCTCGCACGATAAAAACTGTTACTCGGGAATGGTGCCTTTGCATACCGACAACTCCCGGTGGGCTTGCGGTGAGTTGCCGCACTGTACCGCATTGTATCCAATGTAAGTTTACACTTCAAACCCTGCTCGGGGAAGCCGAGTGATATTGCGTGATCTAAAATATCCCACTCCCGGTAGGTGTTCGGGGCATCATATTCATACTTGGATTGGTATTTCCTTAACCCGATCCCATTCGGCCATGGGCGATGCAAAAATTGCTCGGAACCAGCAAGCGGATAGTTTGGGAGCTTCCCAACTGGTTCGGTGGAGTTCGAATCGTTACCAGAGTGTCATGTAAGCTTTGGAGTTTCACCGGATATTGTTTTAATTTCCAGGGTTGCTTCCGCTTTAGGGAGGGGTATTTTTTTTGGGGGGGGGGTGGGGCTCTCCCTAGCTTGTAGGTAGATCTCTGTGGATTGTCCGGTTCATTCCTTCTCACTTTTAGTTATGCCTGATTCACGGTGAATACGCTCGTACTGCTTCTATCCATTGGGTTCCCTAAACTTGTTTCCTGTGATTCCCCCACTAGGGATGATAGAAAATCTGATGCCTTGGGGACGGCGATTTGGTTGTTCTCGGTGAATTTTCCGGATGAATTTGCAAGCTGGGAGCTCTAAGTGGGGAGGGGAAGAAGGTAGAAGGGGTCAAAATCAAGTAATTCTTTTTCTCGAAGATTATGTGGCATCAAGTTGTGTCGGTATCTACTCCACGGAATATGCATCAAGCGTCGCTTTCACCTGGGGCAGGGTGTACGATTTCCCACACTCCTTCACAACGTATATCCGAAATTTCGGATTACTGCATGGGATGAAGGTCTCTCTTTGCCGGCAGTGCATAAAAGACTAAATTTTTTGATGCGTTGCCGCACCGATTTACAGGGATTGAGGCAAAAGACCCACCAATATTTCCCCAACCTCCCCATGCATGCAGTACAGTCTCCACCCGGGGTGGAGCGGAGCTGGGTGGAGAGCTAACAGGAGGTAGAGGGGTATCTCTAAACTCGAACCCACAGGCTATAGCAAGGACACCTCCTTCCCCCAGCGTATAATATAACAGACCGTATATCTACAACTATGAATAAGACAATTGGCAGATTGCTTCCCCTATTTACCCCGCTGCGACATGACCAATTTTACACTCCGCTCTCCCTCACTGCAGTTTACTCGCCGTTGGTGCAGATTTAACGGGGCATGCTTTTTGCCGGGTTATCTACTCCGTTGTCTAGTTGCATGGTGACCGATTAGCGGACACTCTATGCCAAGAACAATTTAGTACGGATCTGCTTGGTATCCGCATTTCATTTAGTTGTACTACCTCCGTGCTGTTCGTGACGCCTCCTGTTTCATGTGCCCTGGGATGGAGGCTGTAGTCTTTTTCATTACTTTCCTAACTTGTGCGGCAGCAGGTTAGGACTGTTGAGGAACACTTGATCTTATATCCCCAGCCCTGGTAAGTCCCGGCCACCGATTGCCCCGCCCTCAGCGTCCGCCTCGGGTGGGTTAATAATTGCGAGCGAGTGATAGTATGTGAACCAAACAAGGAGGGTGCAAGCTTCCGGTGACCTGAGCCCCGGTAGCGCCCACCCCCTGTCTAGTTCTATCATAACACTGCACCAGTGTGATTACACCACCGCATAAGGAAGTCCTTTGGAGCCAACTCTCCAGCTCTATCTACTAATTCCTCCAGCTGAGCAGGGAATCCCCGTGTATCGGTATCAGACCAGGGCTAGAGTGAACACATCCCGGGGCGGCTTAGAGGATTTTACCAGCAGCATGGCATTCAAATTTCAGGTTCCCGGAGTAATTGATAAATGGTGCATGTGTGGAATGAGCAGAATAGCTCAAGACTAGGATGTCGGGCAGGGGAGATGAGAACTGTGCTGCGGGTATAGTTATGGGCTTCGGTCACTTCCTCCAATTAAACCAACAGTAAAGTCAGCAGGATATCAAAGCATAATAAGATCACCCTAATCCTTTGGTGTGTCACCACACGTATCTATCTGCCCTCGCTCATGTCCTCCTCGATCTCAACGCCCCCACGATTATGAAGCAAAAACATTCTTGTAAGGGCTCCCTCCGGAGGGCCTTTCGCTTTAAACCAGGGCAACTCCAGAAGAATCAAGTTACCACACTCCCGTGAAATGGACGGCGCTCTAGCTGCTTCAAAAGTTAACACACTGGCTCCCTCCATCAACAATGGGGTGGTTTCCACGGCTCAGGATACGCTATATATATCCCAAATTTTATCACCAGAAATCACTCGCTAGGGATCCGTTAGTCAGCTTGCGCGGAATATCCCGTCGAAGGCAGAGGATTTGTGTCTTGCGTACACGCTAGGGCGGCTGTTAATACGGTTGTTACGGTGCCGGTGCCGTGCCCTAGGGCAGGGCGTGGGGTGGGGCTCAAGAATTTAGGTAGTCATAGGCAATGTTCCCAACCGTCCAGGGCGCCCTACAGGGCCCTGCGGGGCCTGTAGTCCCGGGCGTCCCGGGCGGCTGAATTCAGGACGGCGGCTTACGGCGTCCATCATTCGTGAAGACCGCCGTCCTAGGGGTTGACGGCCGGGCCCTACAGACTTAATCCAAATGGGATCTTCCGGTAGGGCCCGGTGGTGATCTGCAGGGCCCTGGCGTCAACTGTAGGGCCCTGGCGTCACCTGCAGGGCCCTAGCGTCACCTGCGGGGCCCGCCAATCATGAGCGTTGCGCTATGATTTTATCCACCCACACCATCGCGCAGTAAAGATAGCGCATGGGAAGAGTATAGGTTCCGGTGGTTCAGAACAAGGCTCTGATCTAAGTGGGCTTGGTGTATAATCTCACTATTTGTTTCTATAGGCATGAGGAATGTTTAGTGCGACTAAGGATATGGCTATTTGTATTGCAATAAATTTGTTTGATCTACTGGAAACAATTAACACTATCTGACTAATACACGATTCAAGTGAGACACCTATAGGGCCCTGCAGTCCGTCCCGGGCAGAGGCAAGGACGGACCATGGGATCGGCGTCCGTCCCGGGCAGAGCCATGAAAGTTGGCGTCCGTCCCGTCTTAAGCAAAAGACGGACGGACTGGACGCTTGGGAACATTGGTCATAGGTTACCCGATGGGGTAGTAGATCCGTTCCCCGATTTCGGCTTCCTCCGGGGAACGGGAGGGGTCGGAGGGGTTGACTATGCTTCAAGCTTGGCATACACCTTTTCGCTCTGCTGGGTCTAAGGGCTGAAAGGGTCTCGGAGGGTATTTGGCTCGAGCTACCCTTTCTCAGACGAGCTGTTTGTATTTCATAGTTTTCTATTTCGCACGTCTGAGGGAGTGCAGTGGGAGAGAATCCACGATGCTGCGGTATACTTTCTCGTATAGATGCTGTACGGGTGGGATTGGGGGAGGCTTGCTACGGGGTGGTTCCGTACTTTAATTTGCTTGAGGTGGGGTGAGTGGTCCGGTTACTCCACCCTTGTCTCTGCAACCCCCCCTTAAAAATCCCATCATTACCCCCTCCCCACCCTTAACCTTCTCTGCTCCAATCGCTCCTTCCTCTTCGTCACAGCCCTCATACCCTACTATTTTCCTCCACCTTTTATTATTGACCTCGCCTCCTTCACCATTCTCATACCTATCTTCCCCTTCCTCAGATCATTTTCTAACAACAAATATGCCCGCCTCCTAAGTCAAAGCAAGGAACTGGGGGCGGGTAGTAGTGACGCTTCAGAAGCCCCCCCTTTTTATTTGACAATTAGTTTTCTGCTGGTGGGGCACGACAGGAGAAAATAATAAGAGGCGGAAACAAAGCAGTAGGGGTACTCACTTGGGAAAAAAACCGGAATTATGGTGACATTTTCGTAGTTCAATTTGAGTGGGGTCCAATCTGCGCTCTGGTTTGCGATGCGGTTTTCGTGGGCTTGGGAAGGGTAATGTGTCTGAGCTGATCCACGTAAGGGAGCTCAAT